ATTCCTCTCGAGCGACTAGGCACCGACGCCTCATGAAACCGAGAGAGCTCGTCAAGTACCGTGGGAATGCAGCTATGCGTCCGGTAGGTATGTGAAAGTAACAGTGTAACCGGTTAACCGATGAACCTCGGCAAACGTTCACGGTTACAGGCTCCCTGTACACGCAGGAAGCTGGCTTAAAAGTCAGCTCCCAGGGACCCCAGGTCCCAGGGAGCCGCCTGCCGCCCCCCGCTGCTGCCTCTGTATTAGAGGGAGCAGCCCGGGGCGGCAGGCAGGAGCCAGTACACGTGGGAAGCCAGCTTAAAAGTTGTCTCCCTTTGTGCACCATCTCCAGGGGAATTGATGGTGCCGCCTCATGTGTAACCGCTGAGATTACTTAATGACATGCATTTTAACATCCCGAGCATCTACTACAGGGGTGGGGAACCTATGGCCTGGGGGCCGAATGAGGCCCCCGGCTTGCCTGGATCCGGCCCCCAACGCTCGGGGCTCCCACCCCAGCATTGGGGAGCCCTTGCTGACGATCCAGCCCCCATCCCTGCAGGACGGCACACAGAATCTACTAGCCTAGGCCCTGCTAGGCTCTGATGTGTGAGAATGGGGGAAGTGTCTGTCTCCTTCTCATCAGGGGCCACATCAGTGAGGGTTTATTTGGTTGGTTTTTTTGCTTCTCACTTGTGTGTGGCCCCCAACACAAAAACGGTTCCTCGCGCCTGGTCCTGTACGTGCAGAGAACTACGGACGCTGTTGCATCTACAGCAGCTAAACCCCTGTGCAAGTGGCAAGACAAGCAGCAGTTGGCCTCCACGTACCTATGCGACCCCCACGTTAGCCAGGCACGGAAGGATCACGTTCACCCTTGGTGCAAACTTTCCTCTGCTCCGAGCAGGAGCGCCGCTTTGAGGCGAGGCCCGTCCTCGGCTCTCGCTGTGGAAGCCTGGCCCGGAACACGCTGCCTTTCAATCGGGGGAACCCCGCCCCACTTTGCGGCCAGACGCGTTTCCACACCGCAGTGCTAGGGCTATGGGGTAGCCATCCCCAGCGGAAATGAACGAGCCCCCAAGCCACCCGGCCCCGTGCCGCGACACCTGACAGCCGCTCGCCTCAGCAAAACTTTCTTTGCTTTATTACAGCTGCGTGACATTTTCACTGGACCAGAAAACTGAAAACCTGGGTTATTGTTGCCCTGGCAACAGCTGCTGCAAGGGGCTTGTTGTGAAATGGCTGCTCCTGCACCCACAGGTTACGGCTCTGCTGTCGCCGCGCTGGAGAGCGCACTGAGCTCAAACGCAAAGCCAGCCACCAACGGCAGGGCCTCGGGAAGCAAGACCAGCGTCCCAGCGACCAAACGGGGCGGTTAACTGCATCAGGGACAGCAGCTCACGCGGCCACCTGAAGAAGTAACTGAGATTCATTGGGAAGAATGCATGTTTGGACAGAGACGCTAGAGCAGAGGCTGCACGGTTCACAGCCCAGAAACAGACCCGCGACAGTAACCGGCCTTCCGGAGAGCAGACGGCAGCGACGTTCGCCCTGCCCACAGAACGGACTGCACTCCTAGCAAGGGGAGGACTGCAGCGACTACAGCTGCCCCAGCAGCAACATGAAACGGACGCAGTCCTAGCTGGTTTTACTCTGCCCTTCCCAGCTGTGCCTTCAGGAAAGGACCTTGCTGTGGCAAGGGAGGCTTCAAAGGAGGGAAAGTCTCTGCTCTCTCTCTGCCCAGAGGTAGTGGAGGTTCACATGCAAGCAGGCAGAGCAGCATACAGCAATGGGGGCCGTGGCCGGCTGGCACAGAGACCTACCACAGCACCTCAGAGTAGAGGGTCACGTTTAGCTCCGTGGGTAGCTGAGTATACCCAGCTCCTGGGGACTCGTGTGTGCATGGGGAGGGAGGCAGCGTCACTCTAGCAACCACATCACCAGGAACGAGCATTATCCTGAATTACTACGCCCTTCCCCATGGCTTCAAGGAGAGACGGGCATTCACCCCCATCTTGCAAAGAAAGGAAAGACTCCGATCACACGCTGGGCGTTCGTCTCACCTCCTCGCCCAGGACGGTTCCTGCGGCCCCGGCAAGGGACCACCGCTTTGTGTGATATAGAGGCTCACGTTGAGGCAGCTCTCTGAAAGAGGGTGACGGGCTGGTGTGCTGCTTCTCGCCGGCAGTGGCTTGGGGAAGGAGCGGGAGGAATGCTACCCGGTTCTCTCGCAAAGGCTGAACACACTGGCACCGCTGGCAGCAGCGGGCACGCGTCAGGCAAGAGGCTGCCAAGGTAGGCTGGGAGATGGGGAGACGAGACAGCACTGCTGTCCTGGAGGCCTCTCCCAAAGACCAGGCGGCAGCTTCCGGGAAGAGCCCCTCACAAAGCGTCCAATTGGCCGAAGGACTGAGATTGGACAGGGCTGACAGAGCAAGAGGAAGGAACGACAATCAATGGAGCTGTGAGAGCCTGAGAGCCCATCACCACAAAGGCAAAGGGGAGACAGTAACTTGTAACTAGCCCTGGGGAAAACCCAAGTACAAAGCTAGGACAGGACAGCTCTTCCCGGCAGTAGAGATCCCCTTCCCAGCGCTGACCTAGCCCATCGCTGGAGCTCCTCAGACCGCTATGAGGGGAAGGAATCTCTCAAGCAGCGACGCTTCCTGCTCCCCTTCCCGCAAGTTCGCCTCCGCCCTGATGAGGATCGAAAAGCGTCTGGAGGCCCAAGCAATAACACTAGCCCATTCCATCCTGGTCCGTCTAGTTCTTTAAACTCCCGTTACTCTCTGCTGCACAGGCAATGCCTCCAGCGCCGAGACTAGGCATGGGAACGGGCAACTGATTACCCGGTAAGCATCCCCCTTAAAGGCCACGGGTCGGAAGCAGCCGGGCCGCAGCAGCCTTCACCTGCAGGCCGCTCCAGCCCGACCGTGGGGGCGCCCCCACTTACCCCCATTTAATCAGTCAACCAGTGAAACTTAACGTTGAACGGGTGAACTAATTCAACGGGATTTGACCTCCCTAATCGAGACCGGCTGCAACCATGTGACTGCCACCGTTTGCCACCTCCACCTCGTTAAGACGGGCCCAGTGGTTACTCGCCCTCCAAGTTCCACACAACTTCCCAATTCTGCGCCGGCTTTGGCTCCCCGCACTGGGCTGGGAGGCCACCGCCCTCCCCCTCGGGACAGAGTGCAAGGAAGCCTGCGGGTGTGGAAAGCCCGGCCACCTAGCACCCGTTCCGGTAGCTACAGGGCGAGCTGCCTTTGGCAGGAGGGTGGGGAAGACTTGCCTTGCTCAGGCTACAGGAGGATCCCTAGAGAAGAGCAGCCGGGCGGATGTAGCTCTGCACCCGTGAGCGACCTGTGGGAGTGCAAAGCTGCCCTTTCTCCACTCCCTCCCAGGAGTGCGAAGAAGGAAAGGGCAGAGGTCAGCGTGGCAAAGGAATCGTTCCGGGCCACGGAGCAGCCAATTCGAACATGCAAGGGTTCCTCACAACCCATTACTCAGGAAGCAATTCTGACCAGCAACTTCTAGTCCAGCAGCCGGCATTGAGATGTAGAAGAGCTTCGGGAAAGAGCAACAAGGGAGAGGAAAGGGGGTGTGAGAAGGTATGGAGACCCTCAGAGATCAGATAGACAAGCACAGCCCATGAACAAAGATCTGGTGGACTCCCACCAGAAGCTGCCAAGTCCCCTAAGCTACAAGAAGCGGTTGTTTAAACGCAGGGTACGTCTAGCCTAGGAACACTTGAGGGGCGTCAGAATAGCAGGATCCTACACTGGCCAAGCATCCCTAACGTGGACACAGCTCCCCAGTAAAATTGTGCTACGCACTGGGGCTGGAAAACTACTCAGAGGAAGGAAACAACCCATCTCCTCACAAGAGCCAGTAACTGCGTCTCCATGAGGGGCTCCTGCCAGCATAGCTGTCCAGTTAAGGATCACACTTCTACGCTGGTCTGTAGGGCAGAGCTGGGCCCTGTCTGTTCCTTTCCAAGCATGAGTCCATTCTAGACCGGCAACATCCGTGATCCGGCAGGATTTTAGCCAGATGTCTACTTAGCATGGGTGTGGCCAAGATTCCCCACAGTCAAATAAAGTTTGTTTACAGCCACCGGTCCTGGCTCGCAGGGTTCTGGGCTGTTATTTAGCTCGAATTTACCCTTAAATGTCTTCCCCTGCTTGCTGGGCTCCGAGAAGCGTTGGCAACGCTGCTAGACCATACTGACCTCCCATGGTTCAGCAAACTCTCTAGTTCGGCACCGGTCAGGTCCTGAAGGTGTCGGACTAGAAACATTCAACCTATATTAGAAGAGGTAAAAAAGCCTCACCCTGGCCAGTGGCACAGAACACATGGAAGCAACGCTTCCCCAGAGAAAAGAAACTGATCACTCAACACAACCCCCAGCAGGGACGTAGGAACCTAACAGGCAGGGGCAGATTTCACAGAGGGATTATTTGCTTCCCCCTTTAAGGAGAAAATGAGACTTGTGGCAGGACCAGCTTTCCTATCTGGATGAGAGGGAGTTAAGAGACTTGGATACCTAGAGAGAGAGAGTAGCCAGCTCAGACAACCCAGCTGAGAACCTGAGGACACGGGACGATCTTCAGTCAAATGGCAGCTCTAATGCAGAGTTTCTTTAGGTTACGAATCCAGCCAAATAATTAGAGTACAGGCAGTCCCCGACTTACGTCGGATCCGCACTTACGAACAGGGCTTTCTCGCCCCGGAGCTCGCAGGCAGCGGGACCGCCCAGAGCGCAGCGGTCCCGCCACCTCGACCTCCGGGGCGAGAACGGGACGATCTTCAGTCAAATGGCAGCTCTAATGCAGAGTTTCTTTAGGTTACGAATCCA